GGAAAAAAACACTTGTACCAGCCCTCTATAAAGTTATTCAAGACTCAAACAATGAGGTAGGAAGATTCATATAATTGTTAATTTCTACATTGTAAAATGAAATGTGTGTACTAAAACCACAAAAACATAAATTTTGTAGTTTTCTGTCCTCACTTGTGAATCTGGAAGGCTTCTTTCTGCTGGTTTTCATTCTGGTAGTTGCTTTGGCTTTCCCCATTCCCTCTCCTTTTATAGTTTCAAAGTTTTGGCCATTTTTTTCCTGGTGAGGGCAGTGTGCTTTGATTCTCGACTTGAGTCACCATCAGTCATCTCAATGAATTATTTTAATTTGAGGTTTTTTTTCTTCATGTTCTGGAATGTTTCCTTCTCTGGAAGTCAAATTTTAATTGCACTGATTCATCCTTTATTTAATATTGTTTGATAATTTAGAACTGTTTATAACCACTCTGATGAATTATAAATGTACAACACAAAACTCATGCTGTTATTTATTAAGTTTACCCTAAAAAATGATCAGAGGAAGCACGTTTTTAATCTAAATAGTAAAGTTCAATAAACTTAGAATAACAGTCAACTATTTTTCAACATGTGATAGAAAGGAGAAAATGCAGCTATTTTGTGCTGAAATACACACATTATCTTTCCATTAACACATTGTGTGGCATATAGTTTTATCCCACTGGACTCATGTATGCTTTAAAATGAAAATGAAAGGAACACACAGGAAAGTAGCTTCTTATCTTCCCAGATACAGCCTCCAAGAGTGCCTCTGCTGTGTACTGCAGTGAGTTTGAAGAATTTCAGGTAATCATCTCCTAACCAGCAGTTTAACTCAAAGCGCATCTTCATTTTGTCCTGTCACTAAAAGCTTGCTTTATTGACCTCCTTTCCTGTCTCCTGTGTTTGGATTGGCTCTCAGACTTGCATCTGTTCTTATTTGTAGCAGCAGCTGCAGGATTCATTTGCTTTTTTTTCCTCCTGTGATATATTGCTGAATTTTTAAACTTTAGCATGGGCAGTGTATATATACCTACACATTTCCTTCTTGGTCAGAAGTATTTGGAATTTTCTAAATAATGAATATGTGTATATGCTACCCCTAGTTTTGCACTGTCTTAACATTTAAGCTTTGCTTATTAAAAATCGTTTTATGCTCTTCTCTTTAGATTGTAAGCTCTCCATGGGCAGTGTTCATATATATTTGTTACCTTCCTGGGATGTAATATTTTATCATGTATGCAGTGAACATTTAATACGTATTGATTGGGCTTGGGATGTGACTCGGGTTGAGTGTTTACTTAGCATACTTGTGAGACTCTGTTTTCAATCTCCAGCATAAATGAATGAATGAATGAATGAATGAATGAATGAATGAATGAATGAATACTGATTAGAAAATAGTGAAATAGCCAGGCGTGGTGGCACACTCCTTTAATCCCAGCACTTGGGAGGTAGAGGCAGGCGAATATCTGGGTTCAAGGCCAGCCTGGTCTACATAGTGAGTTCTAGGCTAGCTGGGACTACAGGGGACCCTCTCTCAAAAAGACTGAAAAAAAAAAGAAAAGAATGAAATATAAAATGATTCTAGAATCTTTAAATTTTAGGGCTCACAGAGTATGAAGAGTATCCTCTTTTCTAAAAAAAATACTTTGAAAGCTGTGTCTTTTTTTTTTTTCTTTTGTTTTGTTTTGTTTTTGAGACAGGGTGTCACTTACATAACCCTGGCTGGGCTGGAGCTCACCTGTGTAGACCAGACTGGCCTTGAACCACCTGCCTCTGCCTCCCAAGTTCTGGGATTAAAGGCATGAACCCCCATGCCTGGCTGAAAGCCATGACATTTTCAAAAAGCTATTCAGACTATTTTGTATTGTCATGCTTCATAATATTAATGTGTGGGACCTCAGAGTAATGGATAAAATGGGAAAACTACAGCTTGAGAGATCCAACTTAAGACTTAACTTCTTTCTTCTTTCCTTTCTTTCTTCCTCTCTCTTTTCTTTCCTTCCTTCTTTCCTTCCTTCCTTTCTTCTTTTTTTTTTTTGAGAAAGGGATGAGTTATGTAGCCCTGACTGGTATTGAACTCACTCTATAGACCTTGTTGGCCTCAAACTTGCAGAGATCTGCCTGCCTTTGCTTCCCAAGTGCTGGGATTAAAGGCGTGCACCACCATGCCAAATTTTAGCATTCTTTGTAATTGACAAATTGCTAGGACAGGTCTGGGTTTCTGTCCTTTTTACTGTCAAGTCAGAAGCTTCTAATCATGCATTTAGACTTCAGAAAACCACTATAATAAATTCTGCAGAATTTCAAAATAGTTCTTCACTTTAATCATAGATGAGCACACTGTGAATCCTGATTTTATTATATTCTCAAACATAATCAGATGTGTTAACAAGAAATTATTTCAGAAAATGGTTATATCCTTTATTTAATATGAATTTGAAGTTAGAACAATCTTAAAAAATTTGCTTTAAAAAAATAAGTTTGCTTTGAAGACATTAAGTTCTTAATGATATGTATTTCCTGTAAGTTTAATTTTATATGTCATTGCTAATCACTATTACAGCTTGAGTGTTAATCTCTAGACCAACCATCTTTATTTTTTTCTCTTTTCCTCTTAACAGACCCCCATAGTCACTGTAGTACTTCCAGTTTTGAGTCCTCCAATTGTTAGCAATATCATTTTTCTGTGATTTGAATGTTCTTTTCCCCTCCTCAGTATAGGTTAATTTCATGTTCATCTTTACAATCATTCCCTTGTAAACATTCTTAGCTCCTTTGCCTCTTACTCTCCTCATTCACATTCTTGGGGCAAAATCTCAACTCACCATGTTAATCATCCATCCCTATACTCACCCCCAACTTACCATGTTAATCATCCATCCCTATACTCACCCCCAACTCACCATGTTAATCATCCATCCCTATACTTGAGCAGCTGAACATGCCTAGAGAAAACACAATTTTATTGATTTCTCCTCCTTAAATTCAGGGCTACAAATCTCAAATGAGCACATGGAAATCTTAGTTTACTTCCATGGAACTCTTCCCACTGTTCATGTTATATTTTCTTTGAATTCATAATCTTATTGTTTGTTTTATATTTTCTTTGAATTTGTGCTTTTACTCCCTCTTCCTGTTCATTTTCATCTTGCTCTTCTAGGCCATTAAAAATAAAAAATAGCCAGGCATGGTGGCACACAACTTTAATCCCAGCACTCAGGAGACAGGGACAGGTTGATCTCTGGCCTATGTAAGCGAGTTCCAGGCCAAATGAAGCTACAGCAAGCAAGACTCTGTCTCAAAAAAACAAGAGGGCTGGAGAGATGACTCAGCAGTTAAGAGCACTGGTTTTTCTTGAAGAGGACCTGGGTTTGGTTCCTAGCACCCACAGAAGTCTGAAACTCCAGTTCCAGAAGATCTGACACCCTCTTCTAGTCACGCACATACATACAAAGTACTCACACACACAAACTAAAAGAAGAAAATAGGGTCTTTTTTTTTTTTATTTGAGTGGCATGGGGCTTATTTTTATTATGTAACTTGATGTGTCTTTTGAAGCAAGTAGGTGGTTCTGTTTGGAAGCACCTGGTCTTGCCACATGGTGATGACCCCCACTCCTCCCTTCATCTCTTCTGTCTCCACCTAGAGGGTGATCAGAATCTGCCCTCCAGAACCAAGAAAGGGCTGTTCCAACATGCAGCTCAGCTGCCCCTGCTACTGGCAGATGCTGGCAAGATGAGGGATCATCAGTGCTCTGGGAAACTCAGCGATGGGGTCAACCATAGACCCTGACCACAGCCAAAGATCTCAGAAGTTGCTGCTCTGGATGTCAGCTGTTAAGTCCCGGCTAGAGGGAGACGATTTCTGCCCAGCTTGGAAACTTCCCCTTACCTTGGCTTTATGTGAAGTCAAGGATATGGGGGTGTGAGTGTGTGGCGTCCTCCCAGCCTTGACTTTTCAGGTCATATGACATTAGCAAACACTTCTTTATAGCACCTTCATTTCAAAATGGGGAAAATGGGCTAGGAATATAGCTCAGTTGGTAGGGTCCTTGCCTAGCATGCACAAAGCCCTGAGTTTGATTTCTCAATACAATGTAAACCAGATGTGGTGGCACTCTCCAGAGGGTAAACAGAAGCAGGAGAATCAGAAGTTCAAGGTTAGGAGCTGAGGACGTGACTTAGTTGGTAGAGTATACATGTATACTCAGTTTCTTAGCATACACAAGGTCCTGGGTTCAAGCCTCAATAAAATAGATTTAGTGATTCATGCCTGTAGCCTGTAATATCCACACTCTGGAGGTACAGACAGGAGGAGCAGAAGTTCAAGGGTAGCAAGTGGGAAGTCAGTCTGGGCTACATAAGATCATTAAAAAAAAAATAAGTTCAGGGTCATCCTCAGCTACATAGCAAGTTTGAGATCAGGCTGGACTATGTGAGATCTCACCTCAAAAACAAATAAGGTAAAATAAAATAAAATGGGGAAACCATCCCCACCTCAGAAGGTTGGTGAGAGGCACAGAGTGGTGCTCTATTTATGGTAATCACAAATAAGACAGGGGCAAGTTAGGGAAATGTGTGTAGGATTCATGGGCACTGGTTTTGCATCTGAAGCTCTAGGGCATGGGACTGACCCAAAGTGGAGTTTGAGGGCCTGTAGAAAAGCATTCAGGTCCCAGCCCCATACCTCAGTTGAGCCATCCCCTAATCATGCAGCTTTTCCTCTAGAAAGCTGCAATAAGACAGCTGATCTTCAGGGCTACTTTGTGTCTTTGAGGTTTAGGGCAGTTCCTAGAGGGTGAATCTGTGTAGTGCACATCCACTGGAACACTGTCTCTGACCCCCCTGCTGAGTTCCACAGACTCAGGTGCACATGAGCCTCTCCCTGCCCCTGCTCCTTAGCCACAGCTGAAAGCAAGAGTTCACTCCTTCCTGAAGATGACCAAGAATACTCTTCCTGGAGACTCAGGACTGACTGCCACATCTCCCTAGCCGGGAGAGGCAAATAGCAGCAGTGGTGGCCATTTCTCCCATCTTTGGGTTTTTTTTGTTGTTGTTGTTGATGATGATGATGAATTTTAAAAACTACTTTATTGAATTTTTGTGTATTTCATACATAAAATCATCTTTATACCCTCTCCCCCTCTTTCCTTTTGGCACCCTCCCATAGCCCCCCCCCCTGCACTGGAGTTCATATAGTCTGTCATTTGTGTTAAGGCCTGTTGTGTAAAGTTAGTGACCCAAGATGTCCCTCAGTGCAAGTTCATCCATCAGGGTTTAGTCAGCCTATCTAGTGTCTCTCCCTTCAAGAAGATCAGCCCTTCCTCACCATTAGTATTCAGCTGCCAATAATTCTTCAACTAGATTGGGGCTTGCTGTTCATTTCCACAGTTCTGTGCTAGATTTTTGTCTGCCTAAGTTTGTGTGGGTCTTGTGCATGCTGACATCATTGCTGTAGGTTTGTGTGAGAAGGGTCCCAGGAGCCTGTAGGACCACTTCCATATGGTCATGCACCTCCTCCCTGGCTCTTATAATCTTTCTGCCCCCTCTTCTGCAATGGTCGCTGAGCCCTGGGTGAGTGGACCTCAGTGTAGGAGTCCTGTTCAAGGACCCACACTCTGCTGACTCTTCTCTGCATTTTGGCCATTTGTGGCCTTTTGTGTTCCTGACCCGCTGTTGCATGAGGGAGCTTCATTGTTGAGAACTGAAAGATGCATTAGTGTTTTCTTATCCCTTGTTCTGTGTTCCTTGAGTCTTAGGTGTAGAAGTTGCATCCTAGATGTGCCACTTAGGCTTGGCAATTCACAGAGAATCTCTGTTTGTGACCAGTGGTATAACTCTGTAATCACTGTTGAAAAAGAAGCTACTTAGATGGGTGCTGACTGGGATACTTGTCTGTAAATTTAAGGAGGGGGACTTTTCTTTTCCCACTCATATCTATCACTTAGTACTGTCTCTGCTCACACTCCTTTTTTTTTTTTTTTTTTTTTTTTGCTCAGTAGGTGGAATGAAGTAATTATATTCCATGTGTGTGTGTGTGTGTGTGTGTGTGTGTGTGTGCGTGAGAATATAGACATACATGTCAGCTCTTGCCTTCCACTTTGTTTGAGATCTAGGTGTGTGAGTCCCTGGATGTTCTGCTGTGCCTCTCAGCTTCCCATAGAAGTGCAGGGGTTATAGATGCATGAATTCATGGAATCTAAACTCATCCCATGAGACTTGAGTGACAAGTGCTTTACCCATTGATCTCTCCAGTCCTACCCCATATTCCTTTTTTTAAAAAAAACTTCTTTGGATTTTACCTTCTATTATCCATCCATCTCACTTCTTTGGCACTCTCCACAGGTGGACTTCCCAAATTATTGCTTTTTCATAGCTTCTGTCTTATTGTCTCCATTTCTTCACTTCATATTTATTTCTCCCACTCAAGTTAGTGGCTTAAGGGTCCATTATTTCTCCCCAAAAGTGCTTTTATCACTTAGTATGTCTCCATAATTATGTCTAAACAGTGTTTGCTTAATTTAGGAAAGGTGTCATTTATTCCTAAGCTTTTTTTTTTAAGTCAAGGATAATTATTAATACTTTTTCAGTGTGCTTGGTAGTACTGTCTAATAGGATTTGGATTTTTTTTGTTATTGCTTTTTTGAGACAAGGTCTCATGCAACTCAGGTTTGCCTTGAACTTATTGTGTAGCTGAGGATGACTTTGAACTCTAATCCTACTGCCCCATCCTACCAAGTCCTAGGACTGGGAATTTGAGAACATAGCATGATACAAATGCTTAGAATGAAAGGTTTTAATAGTTATCATTGGCAAGTTTTTACTGCTCATTTTTAGTGGTGTTTGATTATAAGTTAGTGGATTGCCAGTACCTCCCCCTTTAAAAATAACAGAGTAATAATTTTAGAATCTCTATTTCTTTGGTATGCTTAATTAAAATCTAGTGTCCTGTATGCCAGATACTTCTTGCTACTGAGAAAGAGAGATTAATGTCTTCATAACAGAAATTCATTGTGATTGTATCATCACCCATGAACATTTAGAGAAGGCAATCTTTGGAGAATCTTTTACTAAAGGGAAGAATGAATCTGAATTATAAGTGTGTGTGTGTGTGTGTGTGTGTGTGTGTGTGCGCGTGTGTGTGTGTGTGTGTGTGTGTGTATTTGTTTGTTTGTTTGTTTTTTGTCTTTTTGAGGCTTGGTCTCCCTGTAGCCCCAGCTGAAACTAAGTATATAGACCAGGCTGGCTTCAAACTCACAGAGAGTCTCTTGTTTCTGCCTCCCAAGTACTGGAATTAAAGGCGAGCACTACCATTCCCAGCCTAGTCAGTTTTTAATGTGAAATTAAAAGTCATAACCGGTTTTGTTTATTCTGCAGTCACTGGAGCAAAACTATTAAAATTATTTATTTTTATGTGTCTGGGTGTTTTGCCTACATGTATGTAAGTGCACCCATGTGTGCAATGCCTGAGGAAGCCAGAGGAGGGTGTTAGATCTCCTGGAACTGAAATTATAGACAGTTATTAGCTACCATGTGAGTGCTGAGAACTGAACCCAGGTCCTCTGTAAGAGCAGCCAGTGCTCTTTTGCCATCTCTCCAGTCTTGTAAAAACATTTTAAATTGGCAGTATGTGAAACTGCTCATTTTCTTCAATTTTTAAGATTATGAAGTCCCTTGCTAACACAAGAATCATTAGCCAATTAAACTTTGAAAAGCCTATTTATATGTTACTTTTCTCCCCTACAAAATCTTGTGTATGTGTGCATGCATGTGTATGTACAAGTATGCTTCCTGTGTGACTGTGTGTATTTAGGCCAGTGGTATGCTTTGAATATCTTCCTTTATTTTTTGTGATAGGGCCTCTTACTGTTTAAGCTGGATTTGGCTAGTCAACAAGCCCTGGGGAAATCTGCCTGTCTCCCCTTCGCCCAGCATTGGGAATTATGGGTGCACCCTGTCATGCCCAATTTTTACATGGGTGCTGGGGATCTGCACTCATGCTTGTACAATAGGCACTTTACTCATTCAGACATCTCCCCAGCCCCCAAAATTATTTATTTTTTCATGTGTAGAAGTATTTTGCCTATACACATGCAGATGGACCTGAGCATTGCAGTGCATACAAAGGCAAGAAGAGGGCATTGGATCCCCTGGAACTGGAATTAAAGACAGTTGTTAGCTGCCATGTGGGTTCTGGGAACTGAACCTGTGTCCTCTGCAAGAGCAGCCAGTGTTCTTAACCATGGAGCCATTGCTCTAGTCCCTGTCCCAAATTCTTTTAAATAAATACAGTTGGTTGGATGAACACAAGGAAACAGAAGCTTTCCAGGTGGCTGGGAACTTGCTCATATGAACTTACAACAATGGTGACAGTTGGGGCTGGAGAGATAGGTCAGTGGTTAGAGCACTGGCTGCTCTTGCAGAGGACCTGGGTTCAGTTCCCAGCACCCACATGGCAGCTAACAACCATCTATAACTCCAGTTCCAGGGGATCCAACACCCTCTTATGACCTCCGTGGCATTGCATGACATGGGTGCACTTACATACATGCAAGCAATAAATGTATACCCATAAAATAAAAATAATAAAAAAATTTTAAGTTATGACAGCATACACAAGACTCATACAAACTCAAACGAGACAAAAACCCAGCATAGAAGTGGGAAAATGGATAAGAAGCCCAACCTTAGCTGGGGAACTATTGGCAACTGATCGCTGCTGGGTGAGGGAGAGTTGGTCTTCTTTAAGGGAGTGACACAAGATACATTGACCAGACTCCAGTGGATGGACTCACTAAGGGACATTTGGGAACACAAACTTGACACAGTAGGCCTTAACATATATGACAGAGTACATGAAATCTGGCGGGGGGGGGCTAGCAGGGAGTACAGATGGGGAGAGTGTCTAGATATGATCAAGATGTATGAAATGCACAGAAATTCAATAAAAATTTAAGATAAATAATTAAACAAATAGAATTAGATTTTTTAAAAGATGTATTTTTTATGAGTGTTTGCCTATATGTATGTATACCACGTGGATGCCTGGTGCCCATGGAGACAAGCGAGAAAAGGGCATCAGATCCCCTGAAACTGGAGTTAAGGATAACTGTGAGCCACCATGTGGGTGCAGAGAACCAAACCCCAGTCCTCTGCAAGGGCAGCCAGTGCTCTTAACCACTGAGCCATCTCTCCAGCCCCTGATTAGTAACATCTTAAATCTGTTTTTACTTCCCTTATATGTATTACAACTATTATAGTAGCTATAATTTTGGATGCCTAAACCGTATGTATTACAAAAATCTCTTCGACTGATGAGTGGTATATAATTTAAGTCATAGCCTTACTTGAAATATGAAGTTATTTTAATTTTTTAAAGTGGAGGTTAGGCTGGCAAGATAGCTAAGTTGGTGGGCTAGAGAGATGGCTCAGCGGTTAAGAACACTCACTGTTCTTGCAGAGGACCTGGGTTCGAATCCCAGCACCCATATGGCAGCTAGCAACTGTCTGTAACTCCAGTTCCAGGGGATTCGACAGCCTCTTCTGTCCTCCTCGGGTACTGCACGACATGGGTGTACTTACCTACATGCAGGCAATACACACATACTCATGAAATAAAAAAAATAAATAAAATATTTTTTAAGAAAAAAGATAGAAAAGTGGGTAAAGGTGTTTGTTGCTAAGCCTGATGACCTGAGTTTGATCCCTGGGAACCATGTGGTAGAAGGAGAGAACTGAATCCCACAAAGTTGTCATCTGACTTCTATATATTTGTCGTGGCATGTGTGTGCCCTTACTTAAATAAATAAGTAAATGTTAAAAAAATTTTAAGTGGGGGATAGTAAGACTTGGTAAGAACAGAAAGGGAAACTCACCAAATAGAAATGTAGTGCATCATATCGTACTGTACATTAAAAAAATATAGTGATAATGCTGTGCATGGTAGTGCACATCTCTAATCCCAGCACTAAGAAATATAGTTACAGCCAAAACAGTGGAAATAACTATTGTACTTTTTTCCTTTAGCTCCTGGAACCTGTCTGCCACCAGCTGTTTGAGCTCTATCGTAGCTCTGAAGTTCGACTTAAGAGGTTCACACTGCAGTTCTTGCCAGAATTGATATGGGTTTATCTACGGCTTACAGTTAGCCGAGACAGACAAAGTAATGGCTGCATTGAAGCACTTCTACTAGGAATTTATAATCTGGTGAGTTGAAAGTGATAATTTAGGAAATTTTAAATATTTTTGAGAGTTCTCTGAAATATTTGAGAAATACTTGGAAAAATTAATTGAAATGTCTATTAAATAATTTATTTGAACTAAGTGTAAGGATAAACATTTTATAAATTTGGTGAAGATATAATTGATAACAGTGTTCATATGACTTTAAAGCATTTTATTCAACCAAGTTTATGGATACCTTTTATAGAAATATCAAGTCGAATACTGAAATGAGTGGCCTGCTTTAGAGCACCTTTTCTACTGGAGAAGACACGTTCATAGATGGCTAATAATACTGAGTTTGTGTAGAAAGAGGATATGAGAGAGAAATTCAAATGTAAGCCAAAGGTATGGCAACTTTACTGAGGAAATGGATTCTGAAAAGGTCTAGTTCAGTGGAGTTGAGAAGAGAGTAGGTGAGATTTTAGGACGTAATCAAGTGAGCGTAAACAGCAGGAATGTCAAATTGTGTCCTTAGAGTTGAAAGTACTTTGAAGCACAGAGTATATGTACAAGCTAAGAAAGATGATTTCAGTTTCAAAATTTTTTTATTTTTGAGGGGTGGGTGTTGTTTCTCCCCTGTGTAGCTCAGGTGTACCTCAGACTCAGTATGTAGTTACAGGCTGACCTTTAACTCTTCACTTGATCGTGGGCCATAAGCTCTCTGGTCATCCACTTCAGCTTCCTAAATGCTAGGATTACAGGCGAGTACCACTATGCCCTGCTGGAAAATTATTTTAATGTGAAGAGTTTAGGTTTTTCTTTAATAGGCATTCACTGGGAAAACAAATCTTGGAGAGTTTTGAGAAGAATTGTATTAGGAGGACAAATCTAGTGGTGATATGTACAGAGACTTTGGAATTATAAATTGATTTAATCAACACTCCTTATATTTTTAAGGCTATGGATGTAATCATAAGGGTACTGGGTATGGTAGAGCATGTCTTTAATCTCAGCACTCAAGAGGCTGAGGCAGGAGGATTATGAGTTTGAGGCTAGTCTGGGCTACCTAACAAGACCCTGCCTCAATAAAACGAAATAAAAACAGAACACAGAGCAAGAACTGGACATGGAATTTCCATTTTTCTGAATAAAGGGTATCAGTTAAAGGAGAAAGTCCAAACACTTCTGGGATTCTGTTTTTTTTTTTGTCGTTCTTGTTTAGTTTTGTTTTTATGTTAGCCCAGTTTGATCTAGGACTCATCCTCTTTCTGCCTCAGCCTTCTGGATCCTGGGCTTATAGTTAAGCACTACTATACCTGACTTATATACTGTTATATTATATAGTATATTACATATGATATATTACAGCATATTATGATTTTATAAATCTGAATGAAGTAAAGAAAGAAAAGAAAGCTTTCGTACTTCAGAGATGGAAAAGCCTTAAATGGAACTTAAAGTCTGTAACTTGATTACCTTGCTAAGACAGAGAGTATACTTTAGAAAAAGAACTTTAAAAGGTGATAAGGACCAAGGTAAGAGAAAGTACAGGAAAACTTGAGACTATCTACAGAAGACCTTCTGAAAATTGAGTAGCAAGGCTTCCTTCCTATGCAATACAAAGGAACAAAATGCCACAAAACCAAAGCTCCACCTTTATGAACCTCTGCACACAAGTGGATAGTTACTGTAACTCATTGAACTTTGAATATTTTAAATGAATTTTATAATCATTGAGTGGGAGTGACTGAGAAACCATAACATTTATATTTGTGCTTAGTTTTAGAATGTGGTGTTTGCTTATGTAAATTTTCATTCAAAATGTATTTTTTGGTTGTGAGCCTGAGTCTTTAACTGCTATACCAGCTCTCCATCCTCGTTCAAAATATATTTTTTATTTTATTGTTTTTGTCATTTTATGTGTATGATGTATTGCCTACATATGTGTGAGTGTACCTGTGTTGTGCAATGCCCGAGGAGGTCAGAAGAAGGTGTTGGATTCCTTTAGAACTGGAGTTACAGGCAGTTGTTAACTGCCATGTGAGTGCTGTAAATCCAGCCCAGGTTCTCTGCTAGAGCAGACAGTGCTCTTAACCACTGAGTCATCTCTCCAGCCCCCAAAGTGTTTGTTTGGGTTTGTTTTTTGTTTTGTTTTCTTTTGTTTTTGTTTTTGTTTTTGTTTTTGTTTTTGTTTTTTTTTATCTTTTTGAGACAGGGTCTCCCTGTAGCCTCAGCTGGCCTGGAACTCACTATGTAGACCAGGCTGGCCTTGAACTCACAGAGATCCACCTGCCTCTGCCTCCCAAGTGCTGGGACTACAGGTGTGCACCACCACGCCCAGCCAAAGTGTACTTTTTAAAGTGTAGTTTGATCATAAAATTTTGATACGGTGGGCTAGGGAGATGACTCAGCTGGTAAAATGGCTCAGCAGACAAGAACACTTTGCTGCACAAGCATGAGGACCTGAGTTCAAGTCCCTAGAACCCACATTAAAAGCTGGGTATGGGGGCTGGAGAGATGGCTCAGCGGTTAAGAATGCTGGCTATTCTTGCAGAAGACCTGGGTTCAAATCCCAGCACCCACATGGCAGCTAACAACTATCCATAACTCCAGTTCCAGGGGATCTGACAGCCTCTTCTGTCCTCTGTGGGCATTGCAAGACACAAGTGTACTTACCTACATGCAGGCAATACATGCATACACATAAAATAAAAATAATAAAATATTTTTAAAATTATTTAATAACCACGTGATTAGAAGAAGCATTTCATTACAGTTTTAACGTATTCTATAACAATTTCCGAGCAAAGATACATCTCTTTCAAAAGTGGCTGTAAATTTTTAGGTTCACAGTTGAATTAATAGTTATACAATATTGAACTCAGTATAAATCCTATAAGACATAAAATTGAATGAGGTTTTTTAAAAAAGATCTCCATTTCATTTTAAAATATACTGTTTCCTACAGAAAAACTCATTTTTAATGCTACTAACACTTAGATGTTTGC